TGTAACTGAGAACAAATGCTGCCTGACTCTTATAACAGTGAGAAAGGAAAACCATAACTAGAGTGAGTGATCCATTGTTCTGTCTCATTCCTAGTGATTTTCCTATAGGCAAGAGCAGAGCTGGGGTGCTTTGCTCATGATGCCAAGTCAAAGGCTTGACTGTGCCATGCCTGCTGAAGCACCTGAGACAGGTTGTTAAAAATACCTGAACCTGATAAAACTAAGCTCAAGACTTCTGTTCAAAATGTTCATGCCTTAACTTCCATGGCTGCGCACTTTGGTCTTGAGTATTTTTAAATACTGATGTAATCTAGTCAGAATTGCATTGCTATTTTATTATGGAACAGAGTATTTTGGAGGCCTGAAGGTAAGGAAGACTGTAGTATTCACAGGTGTATTTGTTTCCAGGTAGTGCTTGGTTCAGAAAGAAGTGAATGCCTGGGGCAAGTATCTGAGCACAGTTTCAAAGAGGCATTGTCATTTCTTTGGTATTGATGACACTGGGAGCCAAAGGAGCAAGACCAAGGTGAGCACAGGAGTTGCACTGGGACAGGGAGCCTGTGTGAACTGGTAAGAAGAGACAAGGGGAGTGAACTTAGGATAGATGCTACAGTGGTATTGTCATTGTGGTATCTCACTCTTAACCAAACATTGCCTGAACTGGAGGACCAGGATGCCAGGCTGAATATGAGAAACAAGCTATGAGCTGGTAATGAGAAGTAAGAGACTAGTAGTAGGCTGCAGCCAGAGTAAGAAGGAGGCTTTGTGTGCAATTTATGGTTCAGACATTCATTTGATATCTGTTTGGCCTTCAAGCTGAGTGGGACTGTTTCAACTGGAGAAGATGAGGCTCAGGGGAGATCTTATTGTCCTCTACAACTGCCTGAAAGGAGATTGTAGTGGGGTGGGTGTTGGCCTCTTATCCTGGGTAACTAGTGATAGGATGAGAGGGAATGGCCTCATATTGTGCCAGGGAAGATTCATGTTGGATATTAGGAAAAAATTATCCTAAAGAGTGGTAAGGCACTGGAATGGGCTGCCCAGAGAGGTAGTGAAGTCACCATCCCAGGAGGTGTTCAAGAAATGTGCAGATGAGGTACACTGAGGAACATGATTTAGTGGGCAATATTGGTGGTAGATGGACAGTTGGACTAGATGGTCTTAGAGGTCTTTTCCGACCTTTATCATTCTATTACTCTAAGGGACAGGGTCCATTTTCTGTGCACACACTTCAGTGATGTGCTAGGTTTACTGCAGCTGGGCAGTGACTCATGACAGCTGCAGGTCTCTGGGCTCTTGCAATAATTCTCTGAACAGAAGAAGGCTTTTCCTGCGGGGAGGCTTGATCCTGTGTCTTGCACCCATGCAGACCAGACAGAAATCTCCATGAATGGCTGTGGACTAATGCTTCTGAGCTATTTTTTCTTGCATAACAGCCACTTTTTTCTAGTTCTCTCACTTCTTTTGCACATTATGTCATTTCACAAGTAAATTAACCTGGTTTGCAATAAATTATAATTTACATATGGTTCTTAAAACACAATAAAGCAACATGGAACTGTGATCAGGATTTGTGATAATTAAATAGTTGAACTTCATTCTTCTTACAGGGCTACAGGGTCAAACTAGATGTGCAATAGTTGTTTGAGTCTTTCTGTCATCCTTCTTGCTTTCCAGTTCAGTATTTTTCTTCTGCTGAGATCTTTATGTCTCTATGAATTTCTACACCATTTAAATACAGCATAAAGAATGGGTAATCCATATTGTGGGTGCAAGCTATTATCATGGTCCTTCTGCACATAGTGTCATCCATGATATCATCAGTTTATCCAGATGTGATAAGAAACCAGACTGCATTCTAACATATTGTGAATTTGCATAATTTGAGTAATGCTTGTCTAATTCTCAAATCATTGTAAATTGATTTATGTTCTCACTATAAACTTCTTGTTTGCCCCTTCCTCCCCCAGTCTTCATGTCAACTGTGAATATAATTAATGTTTTTTTCTACTTCTGCTTCCAGATAACTGCTGAAAATTTTAAACAAACCAGAGCTCTGGCAGGACCCCGCTAGACGCTTCGTCCAAACATATCATCTTACAACTCAGATAAAAGGATCTGCTGGATTTTCTTTTGGCTGAGATAAGACATTTGTATTCATTGAAACCAGTGTTAATGTGAGTAGAAAGAACTGAGATCTAAATTAGATAGATAAGTCATTAAAATGAGGTTATTTTCAAGACAGAACAGTATGAAAAATGGAGAGCGAGGGATGATTTGCATTGACTGTGGACTTTATTTCATGTTGGGTGGTGCTACCATAGTATGTGTTTGCAAGTCACTGAGTAGCAGGCAGTAGGAAGTGTTGGGTTTTGAAGACTCTTAAGTCGTCCATTCACTGAGAGCTGGAGGCAATTGGTCTGAGACATCTCCTTCTTGTCTTACTGGTGCATGCAGGAGTAAAAAGAGAACGAGAAGAAAAATAGACATCTGCCTCTCCACCAAATCAGATATGGGCTTTTATTTGGGTTTCTTTTTGACCCTCCCAACCATGTTCAGTTGACATATTTTCTGCTGCCATTTAAATATATTTGTAACAGTAAGACTTATAAAAAGAATAAACAAGACAATAAAATATATATTAAACAGTCAAATCTGGCAGATTAAAACAGTGAGGCAGTGCCCACACCCTGTCTTCACCTCACGGTCCAAAGCCACCGCTGAGTGCCTGGCAAGCTGCTCGAGTGGAAGTCACACAGAACACAGGCTTGGAAGGGTGTCCACTGCAAAGAGATGCATCTCAAAAAGGATTGCCTGCTTGGCTCTCAGATAGAGTTTTCTCCTTGTGGGAGGCAAGCTGCCTTTCATTTGTGCCTCTGTTCACATCTAATTGTGTCCCTTGCTCTGGGTCTGGTCCAAGGCCAACGGAAAGACTTTTGCTGGCTTCAGTCAGATTTTGGATCAACGTCTTTGAAGGGAATAGTTGGTAAAAAGACTGCGTGGAGGGCTATGAAGCGCTCATGCATGTTCTCTTTGAGCGTAATGGCATGCTGCTCTCTGAAGTGTTGCATGCGTGAGTACAGGGCAGAAAAAAAAAAAAGAAAAAAAAAAAAAGGAAAAAGTGCTAAGCCAGGAGAAAGAGGGCAGGGGAACTCGATCCTGCATGAACTGGAGTGCAGCTGCATAGCCTTGAGCACTAATGTGCATAGTAGCAAAAGTGAGGCCCAAAAGGGGAACGCTTAACTAAGTGCCTCAGCAGCACTGAGAGATGCTTAAATGCATGTCTCTCCAGACATGCCTGCTGTGAGCCTGGGTGGGAGCATTAAGGGATCCTGAGATTTAGTGCTTTATGGTGAAAAGGACCAAAGCAACGTTTAATGTGCACCTGCATGCAAATCCCTGCTGGGACTGGCACCAGGACATTTCTCAGCACACGTAATGCTGCGTGGCCATGGCTTTTCATGGGCTGGTGGATATTTTCTCACTTAGCAAACTCAGTGTTTCTGGAGGGGCTGATAATGTGAATTAAATTAAATTTAAAAAAAAAGACCCAGATAAATAGAGTAGGAAAAACTACAGCCAAGTAAGATGCTGGGTAAATGTTTGTGTTGTATCATCAGCGGTGATGGAAAGAACCAAGAGACAAATGTGACCAGACAGTAAATATTATGGAACAAGCATTAGTGATCTCAAATATTTTGCATCTTTTCAAGGTATGAAGGGCAGCTACACACAGATGTAGAAGGAGAGCGAGGAAACACATCAGCAGGTAAGACTTCTACTTACCTCAGATCAATGGTGTATCTCAGAGAGGCAGGGTTGAGCATGGAATACATCCCCAATAGCTGCTGCTTCCTAGTAAGGAGCATATCTCTAAAAAATATTAACTGGAACCTTAGTAATGAACCCAGAAGCAAACAATGGAAATTTCAAAGTGCATGGCACAACTGAGAATGAAACAAATTTGCTTATGGACTGAACCCAAACTGGAATTCTCCCATTCTGTGTTCAAGAAATCCATCTGGGATGCTTAAAGACAGCTGCCACAGACAGCAGGAAGAGTGAACTTCCTTTCCCCAGGCCCAGGGCTCACGTGGTCCTTAGCCCAAGGGTGTAATGAAAGCTATGGAAACTGCACTGACAAATGTGATGATGTGGAAGGTTTCTCTGACTGAGAAACTTTTGACTGCGAATGAGCTCCATAGGGAAGCCTGACTCAGGCTCCATAGAAAATGAGAGGGAAGCCAAGCAAATATGGAAAAGAAGAGGTAAAGAAATAACTAAAGATAGCATCTGAAAGAGGGAGAAAAAATTACAAGTAAACAGAAGAACTATGAATGAAGACCCAGAATTGAAAGATCGAGAAGTAATTGTTGCTTTCAAGTACGGTCTTTTTATTTAATTTTTGGCCATTTTAAGTCAAATTACTGAAGGCTGAACAGGCCATCTAGGAAAAACGTGCAGCTTTTGGGACAATTTTTGATATTAGCCTATGTTTGGAATTTAAGATATTGACATGTTGTGTTGGCTCTATTATTTGGATGCTTGTATTCAACACATTCCTTCAGGCACTGTTTTGTCAGCAGTCATTAGGGTGATGTTTTCATGGCATGTGTGTGTGTGTGTGTGTGTGATCTATGGAGAAGGAAGAGGAGAAAGCATAGCTTTCCCCAAATGGGAGTCATGACCAACAGGCTTAGTAGGTTGAGGATTTAAAAAAAAAAAAAAAAAAAAAAAAAAAAAGTTTAATTTCCTTTCTTCCACTTGATGAGGACTGAGTGAAGTGTGACCAGCACAGGACCTACTAGCCAGCCTGGATTTTCCAGTCACTGTATTTTTACGATCCATGCTGAAATGAAAAATATGAATAGCTCATTACAGCTAATGAGATGAGGATATTCTTCTCAATGCCAGGAGTTTTCAGAGGGCAAGCAGGTCACTCACTCCTTGATGTATCCCTCCAGGCTGCTGCTGTGCCCCTGTTAGCTCGGCTTTTTATTGTGTCTTTGGAGTGCAGACGCTTCCCGGACAGACAACTGCACAAGGGCTGCTGATTTTCAACCAGGTAAGGTCCCCACAGCTTGAGCACAGGAAGATCCCCTTGAAGCTTTGATAAGAAGGACAGCAGGAATTTCCCAAAACACAGGAGATATGCACACATATGTTTGCCCATCTGAAAACCATAGAGCAATTGCCATATATGCTCAGTCATTACCTTCCCTAGGCAAGTCTTTCCAGAAATTTCTGAAGGTTTTAGCAAATGCAGCATTTGAAGTGAAGATTGAATCAGAGATCTGGGTGCTAGACATTAAAAATATTGTTGTTTGGAACGCCTGGTTAAGGGTTTCATTGCTAATTTCTGGCACACTACTAAGGTTGCAGGAGAAAGCTAGGACAAACTTTCAGCCTGGGAGAAGGGATGTGGTGGTTATTTGTTTGTTCAGGAGTGTGTCTGTGGTTTCCAAGAAAACCAATGGGGATGCACATGTGTATCTATGGGGAAGAATTCCCATCGCCTATGTAAAACACATCCTTCTTATTTTATGTTTACTGGGGACACAGCTCATCTGTCAAAATGCTTTGTGCTATTTCACTGTGATACAGTCTCATCAGCAATAGGTGATTTAAACTTCTTTGGTATCATAGAATCAGGGTTGAAAAAAACCTCTAAGATCACCCAGTCCAACTGTCCACCGACCACCAATATTTCCACACTAATCCATGTCCTTCAGTACAACATCTAAATGTTTCTTGAACACCTCTAGGGACAGTGACTTCACCACTCCCCTTGGCAGCCCGTTCCAGTGCCTGATCACTCTTTTGGAGAAGAAATTTTTCCTAACATCCAACCTGAATCTCCCCTGGTGCAACTTCAGGCCATTCCTTCTTGTCCTATCACTAGTTATGCAGGACAAGAAGCCAACACCCACCCCACCACAACCTCCTTTCAAGTAGTTGTAGAGAGTGATAGGGTATCAGCTGAGAATTGGTGGTTGTTCAAATCAGGCAGCAGTCCATGTTGAATGCTGATTCCAGACATAAGAATCTGACTTCCCTAATACGTTTGAAAGACCTGGGCAGTGCGATGGATGTGATTTGCAAGCCAGCAGAGCCATTGCCTCTTGTGGGTCATATCTAATGGCCTTTGTGACCAGACATTGCAACCCAAGCCTGCAAATCTGAAGAGCCCTTTTCTGGTCTGGATACTGTGGAAATATATTGAAATACATATTGAAAATATGAATTAAAAATAACCAGATAATGCTAGATGGGAGGTTTATAACCACTTTCTACTGAAAGTATCACGTTTGTCTTGATAAAAAATAACAATGCAAGTAGAAATACAACAGGTGCTTCCAAATTGTAAGCAATGACACAGCTGAAGTAACAATGCATTTTTTCCCCATGAATTTAAAAATTCTTTGCTGGCCTTTTATTAAAGTTCAAATTAGACAACCTGTTAAACTACTCAGTGCTCCTACACTGTGCTCTAGAAAGCAGTATGCATTTTGAAAAAGAGTTTTTTTTCTCTTAGTCAATCTGTTCAATCAGAGGCAGATTAATCCTTCAAAGGATTATTTAATCCTTTCAAGTGCTTTGTGAATGATCATGATCACTGTTACTTAACAAACTGCCTAAATTCACACCTTCTTGTGGAAGTAGATACCTACTTTAGACAGACCTCGTGACAGTTGGGTAGTTCACAGTAGAAGGAAGCTGAAGAAGCTTTGCCTAAGCTTTCTTTTCTTTTTCTCCTGTTTGTATTTATTTAACACAAACATCAGTTTGTATAAGCTTTATGCAATTGCACCTTGCTTTGCATTACAGTGGCCTGAAAACATCACATTGCTGTGACTCAGCAGAGGACCTTTTTCTGGAGAGACACTCCACCTGAGGTGCGTTATCTTTGTTATCTGTTCTTGACAGTTCCCTTGCAATCAGTGAAGTGTATTCTTTCAATTCGAGTAGCTTGTTTAAACTACTTATTGCTTAAGCTAATTTATTATTTAAGCTAATTTATGCTAATTTGAAGTACCCAAAATAACAGCTAACAACTTTCCCATAGATATAATGAAAAATATTTACAGCATCAGACTGTAAATTAAATTTAAAGCCTTGGCAACAAATACGTGCAAATGTGTCAATAATGCTACACAAACAGCACAAACTTTGCCTCTTGTAATATAATAAAAACATGTTTAGTTTCAATAAAACTGAATTCAATCACATTGAAACCGCCAGGACAGAACGGGCTGAAAAACAATCCTTGATGCCACTGAGAGGAAAGACTTGTATTTTTTTTTAATTCAAAGTAGAATGAAAAATTCTATATAGCCTTGAAATTATACTTTGAAATTATGAATAGCGATTGCAGAAAATTACGACGTGAGTGTATGTATTTGTTGGTGTTGACTTAGAGAGGTCTTTTGGCTCTTCAGCGGCTCACAGCTGGAAAATGTTTAGAGATAGGCAGTCTTATTAGCTTGTTATTAGTTTCTCCTATCATGTCTCATGGGTAACATCAAAAATACAATACTGCTTTATTCCCCTTTGTCACTCCATTAGATTTCCACTTAAACTGCCATTCTAGCATGAGCTCTTAAACACAACTTTGATTTGCATCTCCTCCTGTACTATAGTAAAAACCATAAGAAACATTACAAAAATACAAACATAGGTTTGAATTATGACCATTTTTAGATGATTCAATTAGCTGCTAATAGGTGTTCACAGAGGTATGTTGTAATGGGAAGTCAGGTTGTAGTTAATGGTTACCATAAGCTGGAACGGTGTTAAAAACAGCCATCCTGTTTAGCTCAGCCATACAATCAGAGCTCTGTCTTTGGAAGTTAGTGTGGAATACTGAATAGGCAGAACTTGGGCTTTTGCTGGTAATTTTATTACTTTTCCTCTAGTGCTCAGTTGATATGAATAGGAATGGCTCTAAAGAACCATGTAAAGAAGAGCCCTATTAACCCGTAACAATTCTCTTGAGGAATTTTGCATCCCTGTAGGGTGCTTGTTACTGCAATTATGTTTTCCATTATGGATTTTCTTTGGAATGTGCAATCCACGTACAAAAATCAGATAGCTGTGAGTATGACTTAGTTCATCGCCAACACAAAGAATGAGCCCGTTCATGGCTTAGGATTTTAGAACACAGGTAACCACGGCAGAAGGCTAGAGAAATGGAAAAGAGTCTTGTCATCTGATCTTTCCATCTGTGTTACAACTCAAAGATAATTTCACAATTCTGTCCAAACTCGTGCTACTGTATTACAGAATGTTCTTAGTCAGGATATTAAGTGACATCTGATTATGAAAAGGAAAGGTTAATACAGGAAAAACATACAGTGTGCAGACAAGCCAAATATACAGTGGTATTAACCATTGCAGGCACGTTCACATATCAGCATGTGTAAGTAAAGCGGGGGAGTGTCTTGCAATATGTCTGGTATGTGGATCTGCTGATCCAACTAATTAATATTTATTTTTTGTATTATAGCATCGTCTAGAGACCTTAATTAAGGCTCCACTGGGCATATTTCTGTATGTGTATAGCAAAAGGCAGTCACTGACCCCAAAGAGCTCCCAGTCTATCCAGATGGCGTAAATGAACAGGAAACTGAGACAGGAGCACAAGCTAACACTTCACCAAGGAGTTGCTGTGAGTGAACATTAAGTGAGGCAGCTGAGCTCCATTGATGATGCACAAAACGAACAAGGCATGTAAGAGAAGATGTGGTAGCAGATAACATGCTAAGTACTGATCCATGACAGCTAGATGGTAGGAAAGGGAAAGCTTTAGTTCTCAGCTCTTTCCCAGGCAAGGCTGTGAGCGCAGAGGTCTATTTCTGGAAACAAACACCACTGCCCAGTCTCCAGATGTAAACTGCATCCCTATGCTGGAGAACTGCTGAATGCAAGGTCTGCTGATACACCAGAACCTCCAGACCTCTTAAACCAGCACTCAGCAGTGCGAGAGCTTCTTTCTGAAGATGAGAAGAAGTTAGGTTGTTTCTCAGCTCACATGGGAAAGACTGAGAGAATGGGGATGGGAAGGTCCCCATCCAGTCCTAGCTGTGCTCATTCTCCCTCCAGACATCATTCCTCCTCAAAGTCCCTTTACAGGAATGCACACCTTGGGCAGCTGAGGAAAAACCAGTGGAGGACCTTACAAGCTGGAAAACATGGATATTGAAATAAAAAGCTAGTGAGTGAATCTTCCTGAGGCAAGAGGGAGAAGGCTGAGCAACATGCCTGAGAGGCAATTTGACAGGGAGGGGTTAGGCCTAATTAATCGTTGGGTTGAGGAGGTGGGTCAAGCAACAAGTGTTCTACTGAGCATGCCTCAGGCTGAGTCTCCCTTTCAACACATGCTTTATTAATACTCAGAGAGCAGCGGCTCCCTGTATGGGGAAAGAGTGGCTTGGGAGTGGTGGAGTTCTTCTACCTCCTTTCCTTAAGCAAAAATGCCCCATGCAGGCAGACCAGAGGAGCTCCTCCAGTTAAAAGACATTCATAGGCAAATGTTTCAGCTGTGCTATTTTAAGCTACGAAGGGCCTTCCAGTAAGTGACTGAGTTTGGTGAAATGCTGTTGTAAAGTAGGAAGATTTGGTAGGAAAAAAGAAGTAAACTCTCTTAAGCTCTTCATTGCAATGGTCATATGCAAAGCAGAAGGATATCATATACTGCTAATTTAAAGTCAATGAGGCTCTGTTCCAAAGTGACTTAAGACAGTGTTGTTTTCTTCCATTGAAAAGCATAGGTTTGAGATGCATGTGCTTTGAAAGGTGCTGGTTCTTCAGTAAGGTGCTATTACAAGGCAGCTACCAATCTAGCCCTTATTGCTAGGGACTGGCAGAACTGCCAGCCAGCCTGCTTGTCTGGCCAATATTTGAGATGCAAGCAAGCTATGTGTATGTGAAGCTGAACACTTCTGATTGAAAAGGAAAGCTGGTCTGCAATAGGTTGCATTTCCTCCAGCCTTTTGAGTGGCAGATAGAAAGAACTGGACCAAAGCTCTGAAACAATAGCAAAGCTCCAGTCTGTTGGCAACAACTGGCTCAAATGAGCTGTGAATGCTTTCACCTACCTAAAGAAATAGAAGCAGCTGGAAGATCATTCTGCTCACTGATCCTGCAGTGAAACTGTTTCCTTCTAAATTTTTATGTGGGGACTTTTGGTCTTGTTGCTTCATCTCAGTATCACTCAGCATGATTTTGGACTTAGTGATTTGGAAATGCTTTTGTAACTTGTAGGCTTACAGAGAACACAGCACTCTGGAAAGTCTTCATGGGAGCATGCGGAGATTTTCAGAACAAAACCCAAGAAAGTAGTTTAGCTCTGTGAATGCTGAGAGAATCCCTTACAGCTCAGCAAACTCCACAATTGGTTTCATGAGGGATATCAAAGCACTAGATGCTTGGAGGAAAGCAACTGAAAGGGTGAAAAGAAACAGAAAACCCTCAAGATAGCAACAAATGTCAGGGAAGTTCTACTTATTTAGCCTTCAAACAAATCACTTGTCACAGGCTAAAGCTACCTAAAGAGGATCAATAATGGAGAATGAGGTATTACATAGTTCAATAGACATAGATGTAACAGAATGTGTTGGCCAGGAGCTGAAGCTAAGCAGCTTCAAACTGATACACAGGTGTGCATTTTTAACTGTGAGAATAATTAACCATTGGAACAACTTACTAAGAATTGTGGTAGATTTTCCATGATTGCGTATTTATTGTGGTTGTTGTTCAACCACAGCTATTGAACTTGATGTATGAACTGCTTAGCATAATCTTACAGTCTACGTTGTTAAAGATGCCAGACAGAAAGATTTTAGCTAGTTCCTCTGGCCTTAACATCCAAGCATTTTTGTAGGATGTGGAAATTTATTTTCTCCATCCCAGCACAACAGCCACAGGCACTGACAGGGTTGCTGATGGTATTATGGAAAGGCTTGTAAGAGTCTGAGTCTCCAGGCATGCCAGCTCAAATCCAAACAGGCTAGACTGAGAGTGGACTGTATTGAGCACAGTGTTGAAACATAGGCTGCATTTAATCATCTTGCTCCTAGATGGGTGTGCCACCTGCAAACTGGAGCTAAGTAACCTGGATCTCAAAAGACAGTGTCATCCTTGTACAGTGGGTTTAGAGTGAAGTCCTCAGAAATGAAGTTGGCTTCACGGTGTTTGCTCTGTGTCATGCAGCCAGTGCTGCTGAAATAAAGCAACTTAGCTTTTGGTAAGAAGGATGGGGCATGGGGCACTAATGATCTTTGTTAAAAAATAATAATTTCATGCTTGGGTCCCACTTGTTTGGACTTCATACCTTGTCTTTTTACACCAAAATCTCATTTATTGCCTTTTAAGGAGAACCCTCAGAGCTTTTGACATCCTTTGAGAGTACTAGAGGGAGACTAAAGGCTGTGGCGCTCATGCTGCCGTCTCATTTTACATATACACATATCTTCAGAGAGGTGATATTTGAAAGGGCAAATAGCAGAAAGTTTTTGAAAGCAAAGCTGCACAAGATTACATCTTACAGCTCAGATTTTCCTTTGAAGCCAGAAAAATCTAATCAGCAAGAATCTGATGTTTTCTTTCAGTTGCCTACAGTGAGGAGAGTTGTACTCAAATGAGCACTGCCTGTAAAATTGAACTCATGCCAATCTGAAGTAGTGATGGTGGGAGATGCTCTCATGAAAGCCTCTATCTGTCACCTGAATGCCTTTTAAGATACACTGGTCTTAGTGGCCGTCTAGAAGTGCTGTGGGGCCACAGATAACAAAGTGGAGATTTCCCTTGAGGATCTAAAGCAAGCAAACCCACACATGCAGAAGCTCCCTCCTTTATTCCTTTGTGTTACATGAAGCCAAGGTCTTGGAGAAGAGTG